GTCATTTGATGCAACCTCCTTGCTCACCATGATCCCAATCAATGAAACCATTGAGATCATTTGTCAACAGTCTGATCTTCTCCCACTACCAGAGTCAGAATTCAAACGCCTACTGCTAATGTGCACCATGAGTGTACAATTCCAGTTTGACAACACTCTTTGGCGACAAATAGATGGTGTAGCTATGGGCAGTCCACTTAGCCCTGTTTTAGCAGATATCTTCATATCAAACCTTGAGAAAACAAAGTTGAAGTATGCAATTGAACGACAACTTCCTATTGTCAATATGTCGATGACACATTCGTTCTGTGTAACAACGAAAGTCATGCTTCCTACCTACTCAGATGACGCACATTCAAATATTGAATTTACTATGGAACATGAAAATGATGGAAAGTTCCATTTCCTCGACATTGCTACGCAACGCCTAGAAGATGGTAGTCTCCAGAGGTCAATTTACCGAAAGCTGACATGGAATGGACAATACTTACATTTTAATAGTTTTTGTCCAAATAGCTATAAACGAGCACTAGTCAAGACTCTGTACTATAGAGCGAGGAGAATATGCTCTGCAGAGAAACTAGAGGAAGAATTTACGATTCTCGAAAAGGTGTTGAAAAACAACGGTTATCCTCAAAGATTCATTAACAAATATGGAAGATGTGAAGGCTCAAATATCAAACAAATCACAGTTGAAAAAAGCCTGTCTTCATTCAACTAGATTTTAAAGGTGCAGCAATGGTCAACAGAAGACTGAGTACGTCACTAGCCAGAGCCTATCCTGCAGCTAAGTTGGTTCCCGTCCATCGAACAACATGCTCTTTGGTGCAGTCAAAAGTCGACAGATACCCTTCTCATGTTAACTCCAACTGTGTATACAAATTTACGTGTATCTGCGGGAGCAGTTACATTGGGAGAACAGAAAGAAGGGCACACCTCCGATTTTCTGAACATGTGCCGAAAAGCCTACGTCTCAAGGGAACAAACTCTTATAATAGCGCTATTACCAGACATCTCCTCGATACGGGTTCATGAGGTGGAAATCGCGAAATCCTTTAAAATTATCAATAGACAAAGGAGCTCGATTCTCCTCAAGTTTGCCGAAGCAATTTCTATCAAACGCTTGAAACCAGATTTATGTGTTCAGAAAGAAGCAGTTATTAGTCTTTCCTTGCCCTGGTAACTGGATGTCTTTATTCTCTCATTTGATTACGTAATCTTTGTCTTTAACCTCATCCCCCTTTTATAATTTGTAATTTTGCTTGTCTCTTGTTTCTGTGATTTGAGTTGAACTCAGTACATTGTTACCTAATTTATTAGTCACTCTGCATCTTACGCATCTCTCGTCTTTATTAAGTAACTCCTTTACCATTGTATGCATACATTTATTTTGTTTAAACTTGAACTGCCTGTGTAAAAACCATATAAGCGCAATTTTCTGAGTATTGTTCACTAATTGAGGGACTTTCTGTCAACTGACATCATGAAAAAAATTTGCAAGTATGTTAAAACTTTTCTGTACATAAACCTCATAATTTATTTAGACTGTAAGCAGCTGACGAGAAGCCAACGAAATAAAAATGATGGTACCATATTAATCTGCACAAACCAATTTCGTTCTTTCCTTATAGAATTCATTCCGGAAGAAGGACTAGGCGAATGACACCAGTTAGTATCCAGTAAAACCATCGCAAGCACTCAGGTGACACGATGAGTTTAATTGGACGCTTGTAACTAGTGTGATGTATCTAGCCTATTCTTACGTGCAGACTGAATTCTGTCAGTCAAGTTTTAGTTTAACGCTAAACTCATTTGCAATCGAAAACAACATGACTGGGGAAATCAGCTGGAATTTTAGCAGCATCTAGTTATTAATAAAAATGCAAGTAAAACAGATATATGTATGTATTAGCCATTTTTGAGTTTTTTCAAACCTTATTTTCATCTTATTAGAATCAGGACATAATCGTTTTTTCCGCTTACACCATCTATTCACCTTTTCTATTTCAATATTCTGAGACTTAACCGTAGGATTTCAACTACTTTGTCAGATATTATTAGATACATCTACTCGACAGTGATGATAGGCCCAGTGTTGATAATGCCCATCAGCACCTGTTAATGAAAACATAAACACTGATTCAATAAATGTGACTCAAGTTAAAATTTATCAGAATAAACAAGAACAACAACAGCAGCAGCAGCAGCATAGAACGCTGTAGTCACTGATAAAACTTTCGGATCAATGGAATGAAAATAAAACTAATGTCTGCAACAGGATACCTACCAGTGATTAGACTATAAGAGAAATGAACATGGGACTAGCATCACCACGACAAATTATCATACTGAGTTAAAAATTTCTTCAAGTTTCAACTGAGCATTTACAATTAGGAAAACTTTAGCGTGCAAGGGAACCTTATACAAAGACTACAGACAAGTTGCTATTAGAATGAAATCTAGTGGAATAAGGTGGGAAAAATCAACTAAGTATGAAGCTTTTCATTCTATAATTAAAAATGTAATTTACCAATAGAACTCCTACAATAAAACTAATGATAGCGAAAACTCCCATTCAGATATCTAGAAGATAAAAGAAAATTTGAACAAACAATATTCTTCCCGATAAATTCCTCTTCCGGGGCTCTACACTGTCTTCAGGAGTTAAAAATAAACAACCTAATTTCCCCTCTTCTATGGGCATCTGTCAGTTTGACTGTTTCTGTGGAGCCAGTTAAATAGGACGTAGAATTAGGCGTGTTTATCGTCAGATTTCTCAACACCATACTAAGTGATTAGGCAAGGGATAAACAAAGTTCATTCATACTTCTATGCAATCTCATTTTGTGGATATAGAACACAAAATTGATGTTATCAAGGCTTTCAAAGTGTAATCTTAATTTTACTTCAACAGTTCATTTGTTACATATTGCTGAAGCTGTCATAATCCATATTAAGAATCTTAACATCTTATGTATCCAAAAGTAGTTGGTTCAGACGCTTTCCTTACACCTTGACCATCATCAAGGTGTTAAACTATCCTCAAAGCGGTTGCATAAATTTCTTTCTTGATTTTATCTAATATTCTATTTAGTTTATTTAGTATTACAGTTTTATGCTTATTATGACTTATGCATCTTCCTTGGACTGTAATTCGACTGATCTCTATGATGAATATTATAGACATATATACATAATTGTACAACAGTACCAGGAATTTATCGAAAACAATACTGTTTGCTCAAATAATCCTTTGTCTTCTACAACTAACTATAATTCCATTTAACAGTAACAGTTTAAATTGCATTAATGCATACTGAAAAACATAGTTTAAGATTCCACCTTTTGAAAAAATCCTTTTAGTAAACAGTCCATTAAAATTATCTTTGATATAACCATGGAATAATCGCTGAGTTTTTAGTCCCAATAACTGAACAGTCAGTGAAACAATTTAATTGATGAACCAGTGAAATTATATGCAGAACTCTGTTATCTAATAAGATCCTACTAGATATTTGTATTGTATGGTCTCTTCCGCTGCCATGTAAATCCTGTTCTCACTGCCTCTTCGTGGCAGATGTTTTTCTCACAACAGTGAAACCACCAATGAGACCGTCTGGAGCTTACAACCTACGGTGTTCACAGGCTCCAAGATCCAAATGGTGTATGAACCTGTTTTCGACACCGGAAACCATGACAACGCAGCTCCACTGCCCTACGGATCCGATCAGAGTGTTGATACTTAAGACAACAACCTGTCTCTGTCTGGGCATCTGGGAAGTATCCCAGCCTTCAGACAAACTATAAGATCTCGTATGGAACATCTCTTGGAGGGTATATAATATAATGTGCCAAGCGTGTTCTGTTAAATACCAATATTTACAATAATCAACGTATGTAAATCCCCAAGTAGCCAAATCTTATACGGCGAAAAGAACACTCCCACAGATCTCCTCAATAACACCAGTTTTTTGGTTCCTTTAGGCTGCAGACTATTTTGAATCAGTCAAAGATATCTCACAATCTGTTACTAACAGGCTAGGCTATAACACCGCTTACAAATTACAGCAGTCTTCAAAAAAGTGAAGGTATAGCTTACTTAAGCACTTGACTACCGGTTGCCACATCCCGGATCTCAGATTCCAATTCCACACACCATAAGCCTAATAAATGAAGTACAACCTGTCACCTAGTAATATACAGTAATCTCACTCGACAATTTCAAGAGTGTGAATTCGCATGGTAATGAGCTACGCACTATATGAGCGAGTTGATAACACTATGTGTCTGAATTACAGTGATCGGAGAGCGGTGCTAAAGGGTGATCAACCCAATGAATCCCACCCAGTATTGCACAAAAACAATTGTGTCCATATCACCATAGTGCTCCAGATTTTCCAATGAACAGATTTATTCTTGCTTAACAAGATTTTCACTAAGAGTACCATGACCACCGTTTCGACGTACAAAATTGAACTCAAACTCAGTATTAAACGGAAACAAGTACTGTAATGCAGACCTCTAACTGTTTGCAAATAAATCACCAGTGAGGTGTAGTCAACTGTAATTTTTTCAAAACTTTCGTGAGGATATAAAACACTTAATGGTGCTAAAAATGGATAAACAAGCGACTGGTGACATTTTTCTGATTTCTGATAGTCAATATCTAAATACAACAATTACACAGCACTCGCTTACTGGTTCAGTAAAGTTAAGTAACATCATATAACAGTCACAATATCTCTTAGTCGACGATGAAAACACAACTGAGGTGAATGACAGCATAATTAAACACGAGAATGATGGCGAAGAGGATAATGATTTGAAGCTATGAAGTAATACAATACTCATTACAATAATGCAATATCCAATGAACAACATCGAATATAACATTACTGACTAATTATTGAAATTGATACTATATCTAGCGAGACAACTACAATTGAAAATAATACTCATTCTGGGGGACCAAAAGAAAGTTCACTAAGACATACACTTACCACCGCCTCCATGTCCTCCGTCTCCACGACCTCTGCCACGATCTCCATAGCCACCACGATGACCTCCAGGAATATCACCGAAACCAACACCGCCGCCGCCACCACGTCCACCTCTATGTCCACCACCACCACCACCACTGTCCGGTTGGCGTTGTTTGAAGGCAGGCATTTCAGGTGGGGGAGGTTCTAATTCCCATGCTCTACCACCTCGATCAGGAACCTATAAAATGTAGGTAAATATTAAGCAGTCGAAATATAATCAACCTATATGTGATTGTCAAAAAAAGAAAACTGAATACACTTAAATAAATATAGAGTATGACTACAGTTCGTTGACAGCAAGTTACTTGGTACACTAATATGATCATACATCCTGTTCCCTTGATTATTTTCGTCAAAGCATGAAGAACACAATTGGCAGCACAAAACATGCACGTTTTATTTCGAGGCATTTCGTCAGCTGGATGAAAACAAGAACATACATTTCTTTCAACTGCGCAGATGTTATGTATGAAGATTGACGTTTAACGAGGCAGTGAATAGTGCAATGTGACGCCATACACATTACTATTTTCAGCCATGTCACCAATCGTATTCAGTTATTGGAAAAAGGCTACTTGGTGATATACATAAAGCATGTACAAGTGATCAGAAATTGATTACTTGACTTAAGATCAGTGGGTCGAAATAAAAATATCATTAAGAAGAAGAAAAGAGAATACGTCACTATGCAATAAGTGAAATAACTGTTACCAGAGAAAATTGAGACTAGTCACGGTTTCTTTCTGTTAACACAGGTTGCGTTTGAGTCATTTAATAGTATCAGATTACTTTGGATTCCTTGGCTTGTTAATGATGCAGTTGGAATATCTACTTTGTGTCCCAACTCAATTAGATGTCAGCCAATAGCGCTGGCAAAGGACCGGAGACCTCGGAGTCACAAGCGTTTTGAAATACATATTCGGAAAGGCGAATGGTTTCTCATTTTTCTAATCTTTCGGTGTACTCTCTGTACTATATATGAATTTGTAAACACAGTTGGCGGTAACTCAAGATGGATGGATGGATGTTCACTTTCGATTGATAAATGGCACAATTAGTTCTGTCAGCAAAAACAAGTTAAGCTGCCACATAAGTTGTAGCAACTGCGACTCTTAGTCAATTATTTACTCGGTGTAATACATCATCTCATTTGAAGGTTAACCGGACAAGTGCAGGCTGTAACAACGTCCCACTCATCAATATAATTCCATCCACATTGTTTAACTAATCTCTCTGGATACCTGTTTTCAGACAGTTACCTTTCAAGGAAGCCCAACTCTCCAACCAATCAACTATCAGAGTACAATTTCTGTATTCTCTCAGAGAGACCTGACCACTCCATTCTCTGTGTTATAGTGAACAGAAACTAGTTTCTTTTTATGTCAGTTGTAAAGATTATACCAGCACATTTGACTCGTTGTTGTTTTCTTCAACTACAATCTTCACACTCAGCTTCTGGTCAGCGGAATACAAAATTATGACCTTATTTTATCAATCCTACATCCATTTTAGGCTGTCTGACTGACTGGTTTCACCATAGAACTTTGCACCGATATGCAACGGTTCGAGTCGCCACACTTCATTCAGCACACAAAAACAGAGTAGAAAGTAAAAAGAAACACCAAATAGAGACATTAAAAAGAAATATGAGGCAAAAAGAATAGTAATATCGAAGCACAATATAGTCTGATTGGAAATTAAAAGTCACAAGGAGTGGATGCATCTGCGCCATTGAGAGCGGCTTCGAGCCATATAACCAATTAGTGTTCACCGTCCCGAGGACCCCAACCAGTCAGGAAATCTACACCTTCCTACGTGACTGGCTTAAACTAACTGTAGTGGATTTCATTGGCTGATGAAGCCATGTTTTGGTTTAACCACCACTAGCTCCTTTCCATCCTGACCCTATGTCAGCTGACTAACATTGCCCGTCGAGGAATGCTATGATTAGGCATGCGTAATACATGTCCTAACCACCTCAGTCGATGTAACCTCACAGCCTCGTCTATTGATTTCCCCTCCTTACCTAGCATTCAACCGATGCCTCACCTCAATATTGCTCACTCTTTTATACCATTTCACACGGGAGATAGAACGCAGTCACCTATGATCAAAGAGAGCTAGCCAGCCTTTTCATGTCTTCCACTCTAAATGGCCAGATGTCACAGCCATAAAGGAGGATGGAGCGCACTGCTGAGTAGTACACACACTCTTTGGTCAATAGCTAGCCGGATATCACGTATATACCAGAGACGGCATAAACTGGCATATGCGAAACTAACCTCCTGTATCCGTGCTGAGATTTCGTCAGCGATCAACCCGCTGGCGTTAGCTGATGCAACTTCCCAAATAAGTGAAGTGGTCAACGTGCTCTACCACTTCACTCCCTAGCTAGGAGTCAATGTAGTCCAGTCCTGTAGCCTCATCATCTTACATTTGGCGGGAGCGAATCGCATGCCGAACATTCGAAGATTGCTGCTCCACAAGGTGTTCAGAAGACTCTGCATTTTGTCAGCGTCTTCACTTAAAAGGACTATATCATCTGCATATTCTAAGTCAACGAGATTATGCCCTGGTAACAAGTCAATCCCTGAGTCACTGGTCATTTAAGCTGTCTGCAACTCGACAGCAACCTCCAATTGGAATGCACACATTTCATACTGCAAATCATGTTTTCCTTGTTTTAATGTGACTGTATAACACTACAGTAAGCACTTTAGTAAATCCATATTTACAGAATTCTTTACTAAACGAATCACTTACCGGTTCCAGTACACATGAGCACTTCATCAAAGCCACTTATAATTAAATGTACAGTCGATTTCAAAAAGTTGTGATTTGCCAATATAAAGCTCGTTTGTCTTCGGAAAACACCGAGTCGGAACAGTTTATTTATCTGATTTTACTCCTTCGCAGTGGGGCATAAGACTTCAGGCTAGAGTTTTGAAGTCCCAGTAGCAGTGTTTTCTCATGGGATGGGGTTACTAGCATCATGCCCAACCTTTCCTCTTTTCCGGGGTTACCACCAGCTAAACGAGGTAAAGGAGTGCGCCGGTCGGAGATCGAACCCCAAAAACCACTTGCGTGGTCGGTCGATGTTCTACCACTGAACCATCGAAGTACAATCGAAAGAGTTACTCATGACGAAATCAAGATGCTTTTTGAAACATCAAGACAAAGAAAACTTGCTCACGAGGACAAACTCATTTTATGTTTAACAATTGCCTAATCCACAATCCCCATTACTTACTCTGCCAATCAAAATCTTATTTAGGTCACATGATGTGTAACGGCGTGAACTGGCACCACTCGTCTTTTCAATCCGTAATATCATATTATCTCGTACAGCCAAAACTTCTGGAATGCCAGGATAGGGAATCTGACCCATTTTTCCTCTAATTGGATTATATACAGCAGTGATATTGTCTAAATTAGACTGAAAATGAAAAATAAAATCGTAAAAATGCAGATAAATATACTTGCTCGTAGGATTGACAAGAATGAAAGCTTTAAAGCAATTAGTTCCCTTCATGAATTTCGACAACACAATAAGAAGACGTAGTTTATGTAAAACGTGTAATGTATTGGCGCAACACATTTCGGACATTCTGATCACACACGTACTTGTCATATACAGTTTTTATAGAAGGCATGAATAATTACAATACAGGTCAGATTGTATAGGTCAAGGTCACAAATACTGGGTAGGGAGACGGAAAGGTGTGGGTAAGAAAGAGAAAAAGAGAAAAAAGCAAAGCAAAGAAGGAGTTGAAAATATTATGAAGTAAATTGGTCCTTGGTTCTAAATTGGATTACCAAGGCAGGTTCAAGGTAATAACAATAACTTTTGGACACATAAGACAGGTTTAAGTCTTTTTATGGCCAAGGCTTCGATGAATTTAAGTATGTGGCCCAACCTTGTTTTATATATGGGCTTAAAGGCATTGTTGAAATCAACCTCATGACCTGTCTCTATAATGTGCTTTCCTATAGATGATGTTGGACATCTATTTCCGGGATCAATTGTGTCTGGCGATTTTATTTATTGTTGCAGCCACTTTGGAATATGTTCTGTAGCCCTAATCTGCAGAGACTGATGGGTCCTCCCTATGTACGTGTCTCCACACATACATGTAAATTGATAAACACAGTGGGATGTGACACTATCGTTCGGATAATGTGAGGGTTTACAGGACAGCATAGTTCTCGTTTTCTCTATGAAGATAAGTTTAGCTGCATAATAAGTTCTATTAATTGCGGCCTTGAGTCTTTGTCTAGTGACCAGACTTTGTTGATCACCTCTGAACGGCAAGGATATGTAAACATCCTTTTTGGGAGCTGATTGGATTGGTAGAGCTCTATGGTTGACACTTCCGTAACGCCTAATAAATTTCAGTGGGTAATTGTTATCTAACAATATTTCAGTGAGGTGTTGTCTTTCTTCTTCAATTGTATCGGCAGTACATATACGGTGAATGCGCTTGAACAAACACTTAACCAACGCCTTTTTATACTGTAGTGCACAGAAACTATGATAATTTAAATACTGTCCCGTTCATGTGGACTTTTTGTAGACAGATCGTTTTACTGACCCATCTTCTCGGCGGGTTATGAGTACATCTAAAAATGGCAGGCAACCATTATTCTCTTTAACGTATGTTAGCGATATACTGTTTTGTACTCTGTTGATCTGGTTCAGGATTTCTATGGCGTCTGTCGGTTTATCACAAATGACTATTATGTCATCTACATATCTCTTATAAAAGTAAACTTTTTCTTTCTCCACTATGTTCTCGACATGCGACATATATATATATATATATATATATATCAGCTAACAATGGACCTAAGGGGCTTCCCATAGCAACACCATCGATCTGGCGATAATGCTCGCCCTCGAATGTAAACTTAACATTTTTAGTACATAGAAGCAGTAACTCTTAAATAAGATATGGATACTGGTAATAGGAAATCGTTGTCCGAGATGTGATCACATAAAATGTCAACCGTCTGTAAAAGAGGTACATTTGTAAATAAAGAATCAACATCTAGGGAAAACATGGTTTTGTCCTTTATATCAACGTTATCAAGACAATCAATTAACTCAAAAGTATCTTTCAATGAGAACTTACAGAAACTTCTTCTAATAGACTCTAATATTTCTACTAGCCACTGTGCAAGTTTGTGGGTTGGAGATCTGCAATTGACATTATGGGGCCTAGAGGAATGTTAGGTTTATGTGTTTTGGGCAGACCATACATGTGTGGTAATTGGGACTGCGTGGGCTTTAGTGAATCGAATTTCTTCTGTTAATCGCATTCATGTTTAAAAGTTTTACTAGATTATTTGTCACTATATTTTGTACATTCTTCACATCTTCCAGACTGGAGTCTCTCGTAAATTTATCATTGTTTCCATTGATATATATATATATATATCAATGACCCAATGTCCTTTTTTGCCTTGTTTTTTTCTCTTTTTCTCCTTCTTACCCACACCTTTGCGTCTCCCTACCCAGTATTTGTGACCTTGACCTATACATTCTGACCTGTATTGTAATTATTCATGCCTTCTTGCCTTCTATGAAAACTGTATATGACAAGTACGTGTGTGATCAGAATGTCCGAAATGTGTTGCGCCAATACATTGCACGTTTCAGATAAGCAATGAAAGCGTTGAAACTGTTGAAGATCACTGGAACCAGTCAAACATTGTAACCCTCACATTACTGGCATGATCTTCAAAATAGTCTACATACTGTTAACATCTGGACTTCGGAAAAGATATCTGATATTATGTAGTCAGCTGATGCCTGTAATAGAATAATGATGAGGATTCCTAATATCGCTTAAGAAATATCGATATTTTGAATGCATTTGCAGTATCCAATGAATTATCCAGCTGGCCAACTAATTTATACGCACAAACATGACAACAAAAGGTGATTATTGTTACCGCATGTAGTTTAGTAAACAATGTTACAATGTTTGGATAGATAATGGAGATTTTTAGCTACGGTGGCTAGGTGTATTTAATGTTGTCTTTTCCGAGATGGCTGGTTTGACTGCGAAAATTCCAGAGCCAGTAGTTTAGTTAGTGTTTACCCCCAATGGAAACCAAATCGCATCTACCGATTTTCAGTTTCACTTCATGCGTAAACCACATAATTCGGCCATCACTTTAGTCGAGATACTAAAAAGTGTTAGTTTGCATCAGTTATTACTACCCAAAGGCTATTCAACATATATCTCATTTCAAATGTCTGTAACGGAAATTTTAGAAAATCTAGCCATGGCTATTGATTTATTTTGATCTAAAACTTTCGCAGCATGACGTTAGTCTTCCGTAAAAATCTCAGTAATTGGTTTCGGTTCTAATCTACTTCCTGGCATAGTTACTATCGGTTGTTTAATTGAAGAAGAAAACACGGCTTTTCTAGTGTGTTTGTAGCTAAAAATTAAGCTTAAACTCTAGAAATACTGGAATTTCCTGCTTGATGAGGTAATTATTGGAGATTAAATTCATCATTTCTTCAGTATCCTTTGTATATTTCTGGAATTTTAACTTATTTCGACATGATGATTCTCCAAATTTTGAAACATACCTCTGATTAATGGCATGAAAATGAACTAATGTTTGATTATTGCACAACGCCATAATTACTCTAAATTGATCTTGAAGTATAAGCATGTAGAAAAAATACATTTTTTGAATAATTTGTTAGAAGGAAATCAGTTAACAGTTCAGTCTATATCCTATAGGTTGTGACGCTTATTTTATTAAATCAGCGGTTCACAAGTCAAATTGAAAGGTCTTTTAGCATTCACGAAGACACTAGAACTTAATCCCAATACAAGCAGTATCAAAATAAGTTCTATAAAAACAAAATGTCTTTCTGCAAGTGGTTTTGGAAAAGAACTCACCTTTGCTTTATCCGACCATTTAAAACTTTGAACTGTAACATCTAAACGTTTCAATAGAGTAGACTGACGACTGGCATACTGCTGTTGAAGCAAGGCAGCGATGCGACTTATCTGCGACCACTGTCGGTCACTAATACCAGTCAGTGGAATGACCGATTTACCCATATGATTAGGTGGACATCGTGAAAGACTATCTGATATCTAAGATTATAAGAACATAAAGAACAATAATAGGAATGTAAACGAAACAACATTGTCATTTGGAGGATAATTTCGACCCATGGATAAAATGAAGTGGAAAAATCACGTAAGGAAAAAATCCTGTTGAAAATGTGTTACAACTGAGGTGTAAAGAGGAGACTACAACCCTTGAAACACTCCGCTTTAGGTGCAGCTGAATCCTTTCTGAACGGGACTAAATCTTTGCACAAAAGCACAGTAGTTCAAGTTATCAAAACCTCATAAACCACTGATGAAGCACGAGGATAAGTGCAGACTATAGACTATAATAAATGATTGTTAAAGCTGATATTCTGAGGATAAAATAAGATTTAAGGATAAGGCTTTAAATAATTAGTGACGAAAAATGCCTTAAGCAGTAAAGTGCAACATTACACAACAGCTTATAAATACAGCTGCCAAGTAACTCCTCTGATATGTTGGTTATTTGTCATCATACAACTGTTGGCTAGACCACCTCGGATGTGTAAATATAAGGAAGTGATCTTACAATTAGACTATGGGCTGATCGATAAAATATTTACCCAAAATTACTTACACCTTTTTGAAAACTAGAATATATTAAGGAAGATGCAGTACCATCCGGAGGAATTGTCAAACCAAGAGCCACAAATGCCCTGTGCATCCATGTCAAAATTTCCAGATCATCTTCGGATGTTTCGACTTCCATTGAATGGTTTCCATTAGTTTGCTTATTGGCCGAATTGACTTTGGACATTTGTCTGGTAGTCATCACTTCTGAACAGAGATATTCTGATAAAGGGAAAAATAAACATTCTAAGTTTCCGACTAAAATGAAGTACGAACTCCACCTTCAAATTACCACTAGCATGGATTAGTAGGACAAGCATTTATATTCCACCATGATTACAATGATTTTTCGGATAACCGTTTAAAATATAAATAGACTACACTACCTTGTAATTGATTCGATTTAAAATCATAAACCCCAACACTAATCACAGCAACCTGTAACATAGAAGACAGAATAAATCTCCATGCTGGTGGATCACCAATGCTGGGAGTGATAAGACCATGCAGAAGTTATTAGTTTTACGTAAATGGATACATGAGTGCCATCGCTACGAACTCAAAAAACCACTTCAGACAGCTCACAAGCATGGAACACTAGAAGGAACCATAGAACATTTCCTGTTGTTGAAGGGGATTCATGCAGAGCAATACAAGAACGAATAATTACGATAAAACGGTGAACTTACGCAAAAGTAAAGCACGATTAGCAGCAGACGAAAATCGTTCTGATACCGGACCTTCAGTTAGAGCTACATACGGACATCCTGTAAAACAGAAACGAACACCAAAGTTTGAAAAATTATTCCGGTTGGACACAACACTGCATTGGCAATATAACGCTTATGAAAATTGTTAGACATAGTCGTTAGAATACTTCAGTGGCCAGCACAAAACAAAGTGACTATAAACTCACCATAAGCGCACAAAAATTTCTCCAAATTATTTACAAAATTTCCATACTCATACTCTTCTACAATTTGATATATGATGACAACTAGTAATTTACCTGTTATTGTATGTACATTTGAAGAAACACCGTGAGCCCTTCCAATCTCAAAAACCAAATCACTGGTCACAGATGAAAACTCATTGTCCTTTTCCAAAACAGTCCCCCAATCGCATTTCACACTGCAAATAATATAAGAAAATAGCCTACACATTACCCCACCGCCTTCAGTTTCTCGGCAAGGTCACTCTTCGCCTTCTTAGTCATTGTTCTAACTAGGCGGGACTCCAATATTCAACATCCAATGCCGTTTGTACGAGGTAATGTAGACTAAGTCGTACTGGTTTTCTGGTTATAAGGTTAAGGTTCCTTGTCTTCGGTAAACTTCTGCACAGTGTGTAACGCTATTCAACTGCCGTACCTTTGGGTGACTCCAAAGAGAGTGCTGCGGAGAGTGATTATATACAGCTAGCAGTTTGCGGGATGCTAGGACCATGTAGTTGCTGTGAATAGAGTTGGTCGTCCCCTCCGTTAGTTGCCCATAGTGTTCAAAAGGGAGGATAATAGTAATAGACATAATTAATATAGATTACTTAGCCTTAATAAGAAAAAAGTATGGTAGAATCTAACGAAAGTGACGCAGGTGGATGGATGGGAAAATTAATCAGGAGGTTTTTAAATCAGAGTTTTACATAACAGATGGCGTTGTCCATTGGTATAGTCCATTTGTGTTGCTTCATGGTTGTTCAGCCTCCACTCAGAGCTCTCCACGGAGGATGTTGTCAGAGCTAAAGAGATAGCAAAGTGGAAGCGAGGAAAGTGGGAGTGTAATTAATCCCTTGCTATGAAAAAAACCGTCACAACACCGTGGCAGAGCACCCCTATTTACATGTTTTACAATCATAACTAGTTTCGGAAGAGTGAAACACACCAGGGACCATGTTCCCACTTCCAGCATGTAAGAAGTTACCGGCAAGTACAGAATCCTCAAATTATGTTAGGAGTTATATGTATCCAGTTTCGATTTAATGGTATGATTTCGTGACGAAGGTTATTTTTTCTCATCAAGCGTTCAAACGTGATGCTGAATATCCGAAAAATATTGTTTGCGCGAATTCAACATAACATTCGTGTAGTAGAAATGTAGTAGTAGTAGTCTTAATGCCTCACTCTTTTGATCCTGGGATGTAGCTATGAAAGTGGAAAAAATACAGGATAAAACCGCAGGAGGATTACTGAAACAGCCGGCAGTTACTAACTTTAAAGTAAACGCTCACTGACATGAAATACAAATAACAGTCATGGTAACTCCATTGTGTGTATCAGACTAGAAGATTAAGCTTTAGTTAACTAGTTCTATGGTCTCTGTTCCAACGAATAGTCAAGGTGTATTGTATGGATGAAGTGGAGGCAGCCTTTGTCAACAGGGAATTCGAAGATATTATGGGAGAAACGTTGAGCTTAAGCATCAAAGCGGAAATGTTATGTGACATAAAAGGCAGAGAGTTAAACCTGGGCATACTATTGTTCCGAAGCGTACAATCAGCTGCCTGTGTAATATCATGAGCGCATACCACGTGGGGTGAGAGCTGTCTCTTGCCTGGCCCTTGTCTTCTGTTGTTACACACGTAGTTGCATTCAAAAGACAGCTCATATCCAAGCGCTGACATCTGGGCCGTTCTCGCCTTTGTTTTATGTGGAAGTCACTCAAACTTAGGAGCCATAGCAGAAGGCATTACTATCCCATAGAAACGGGTGGTTCCCACATGCCTTTAACCTTTCCACATTTTAAAACGCTAGATCCTAGCAAGGTGTTCCTCTGTTATGCGTCATTTTTTGACTGCCGGTGTCATACGCGTGCATCCTACTTAACATCAGGTATTCACTCTCACTAAAATTCGTTGTTACAAATAAACAGTCTCAGTTCATGACCTTGTAACCTAATAAAAACAAAAACGAAACCTCGTGAAGGGGTTAAATAGCCTATACTTCACTCAAGGTCTAAAGAAGTTGGAACCAGGGGACATCGGGGAAGCCATGAAATTGTAATACAACATAAGTAGGCTGTAATGTATGCATATATAGACAGAGAGTTGTGAAACTCCAATAAATGTGTTTCGAATATCCTCATGTGATTAGATATATAGAAAAACGGACTAGAGTTATTAATATTCGAGGTTAACAGTGTAGCGGATGAAGTAGATTAATTTGAAGACCAATATTTTTTGTCGCACGCGGCTAAATGCATTGTAGGAGAGGGAGCGAATTCGTCTGACGATCACCAAGTAAGCTTGAAAACAGTTGAATGACTCAAAAGGTATAACAGAAGATAAAAATGACTAATGTATTGCAAGTGATGAAGATAACTTGGTTACAAAAAGATGGTTTGCCAGGATTTAGTACAAAAGCCACGGTAATGAAGTCAGAATTTGCATTACAGTTCGCGTTTGTGGATATTTGGAGGCGGAGGTTTCTAAGCAAAGAGGCAAACTGCCTAAAAAGAAACTTACAGGAGTTTTAACGCAACACTATCATACTAAATAAATATGACGATATGTGATAAAAGCGCTATTCAGCTACATAAGCCAGGGGGTAACGAAAAATTATCATGGATTTTAATCGGGTGATGAACTGCAATTATGAAGAAGCATTCACCTAGTACAAGAAAGGATAGTAATAATAATAATTTATATTTCGTACAAACAGGTAAGTTTACATGAAATGCATGCCATTCCCACAGGCACGATCGATTATGTTACGAATTACAATTATGAATTAGCATACATTACCGCTTTTTTTAAGAAGTTCAAATTGTTAGATTATAGTACAAGAAATCGGAACAGGTTCTTATAATTGTTAATTTGTAACTCATTCACGAAGGTCTCCATCGAAGTTGAGTGACAACCCATACTTCGTTCCACTTCCTGATGATAGTAATGGCGTGTCTAAACGCTCTTTCAGGAAGAGGAGAAAATCCTGCACAGCTACAAAGTGGTATAAAATGCAATCATGAATAATACATTATTGGAAGTATATTTACAAGAATAAGCTATACAGTACTTGATATGATAGTGCACATTTACAATGTATGATGCTAACCATATTGGTCTTACCATAGAAAACTATGACGTTTTCCATGAAAATAAAGTTATTCTCAAATATGAGTGCTGTTGTTATGCTTTTTTTTACCATCAGAGCAACCGAACTTTATGCGAGAGAAGAGTGTAAATTAGAAGAAAGAAAAAAATGTAAATTTCAGCTTTATTAAAGTCCTCTGAAGTTGAGATAAAATAGGGTATAATAGTAATTAGTCAGAAGGGTTATCGTGAAGTATATAAGTGACATTTCAGAGAGAAGTGGCTAGAAGGATTAGAACCTGTTCGATATGATGACCTGTAGGATGTCTGGTGAACTTGTGTAAGGCCCATGGGATAGCATCTTGACAAGAAACTGAGCAGGCTTGTAGATGTTAGGAGCAAAAGCATTATTTTTTTTTACAAGCTAAAACTGTACAGTCATTATTGTTTTTAGTTAGTTTGTTTTTTTAATTTTCTTAAAGTCTAATTTTTTTATACATTCAGTATCTAAACTCATTTTTATTTCTCGAGCTGCCAAATAATGCATGTTGCTGTCCTACAGATCGGAGCGATTCACATTTGTGACCACTACCAAATCTGCTGATCAGCATGCGCCACCCTCCCTCCTTTTTTGACATTAAGCTCTGAGACCTTTTACAATGACTGCAGTTGTAATATTGGATTGCTTTGACTCCGTCCCAATCATACAGTATGCTGCACATTAACAGCTTTCATGACAAGTGCTTCTCATTAGGTCACATGGCGCAATAATACCAGAGGACATTGTTAGCAGTATTATCATCATACTAGTGAACAAGTGGATTACTACAAAAGGCCAAGAAATTAGGTTTCTCTTAAGAGTTATGAAGTATAGAAAATAGCTAAAATTAGAGAAACTAAGTTATATTCTTTTAGCAGAGTGATATGAGTGGTGGAACAATTAGTGATAAAGTTATGTAAAGTGGTCCTGAGTAAGGCAACTGGTTAGCAGAACTTGTTATGCTAAATTTTCATGACCGATTTTCATACGGTGCGCATTAGACATTGCAAAGTAACCCTTCAACTTATATAATGTTAAAAATACTGCGAAATATTATAAAGATTATACGTTTTAGGAAAGTGTATGAGAAAAGGTGGTTATTGGCTGAGTAAAGTCATTCAGACACAAAAAATAGCATTGTATTATTAACTGTAAATACATATGTAAAATATTAAAAGGTGTGGTTGCTAATATAATTGTTTCTAGAAATACTTATATTAACAAAACTTATTGAAGACTATACAGAAAGGGAAATCAGTAAATTAGCTAAACGTTCGCTGCGTAAGTAGTAGAGTCGAGTTATATGTAACTGACTGAGCTGAAGACTGGACCGGCTTTTACTTACCATTTTACCAACATTTGTGGTCCTTTAGACAAGCTAGGGTGGACATGTTAATGTGTCTCTCTAGGCTCCGTTTGAGCCCATTGGGGTTTTCACAACATCTAATTTCAGATGGTAGTTGGTTCCAAAGAGTGCAATATTTAATGGTGAAAAAGTTTGCCCTAATGGATTTTCTGTGGGTAGCCACCTTGACAAGGTAGTTGTGGTTTCGCAGCTGATATGATTTAATATTTTCCCACGTTATGGATGAGTTACTATAACAGTGTTTTCTTATGACTTTGAATAGTAGAAATAAGTTGCACTTCACTCTCCTTAACCACAGAGGTTCTAAATTCAGACGCATACACCTGTCAACATATTCCACTGGTTGGTCAAACCCTATTATGCGTTTCGTTAGGAATCTCTGAACACTTTCGATTTTTTTCCGGTCTGCAGACCTTAGGTTACTATACAGGAGAGCACAATATTCAAGTTTGGGGCGGATACATGTTCTATATATAGCTGATCTTGCTTCTTGGGTGTAGAAGTTACGCATTACAAAGCCAATAAGTCGTTTACAGTCGGATACAACCTTATTTGCATGATCGGAAAAGGTTAGATCTGAGTATATTATCCCGAGATCTGTGACAGTGTTCAGTTTCGAGAGGAGCTTACCGTACATATATAGGCACATTCTCGGTTTCCAGCGTCCCAGGTGGGCCATACCGCACTTGTCTGGGTTGAAAGTCAGTTGCCACTTTTCGCTCCAATCGCCTAGATTGTTTAAGTCATGTTGGGTTTTGCTTTCGACGTTCATATCATCGGATCCGTAATCATATACTATCTTCAGATCATCTGCAAAGAGGTA